TACGACATACAGTATCACGACAGAGGCATTACCTGTCAAGCTATCTGAGCTCTCTAATCTTGCCTCTCGCATATCGACAACTGCCCCGCTGTTGATAGAAACTATATGGGCTATTTCTTTGGCGAAGCTTCTGGGCCAAGGTGATCTTATCTTTGGCCGGGTCATGAATGGTAGAGCGATACCAGTAGACTCAGTCGAAACCATGCTGATTCCCCTTGTGACCACGGTCCCTGCTCGGTTCCGCCTGTCATCTGGCGCGTCGAGTCTGGTCAATCTGATCAAGGAGCATACCAGAGCCAGTCTAGACTCCTTGCCTCACCAACACACGTCGCTACGTGCTATTCAGCGATATTGCCACGCCCCAGGCCCTTTATTCAACACGATGTTCTCTTATCTTGCCGTAAGGACTTCATCGGTCGATGTCTTGCTGCAGGAAATGGATAGTGTCATGGAGGTAGACTATCCACTGGCACTAGAGGTTAGAGCAGACACAGAGACAGACACTATCACTCTGCGGCTGAGAACCACCAGTGATCCTTCTTTGTCCCAGCAATCTACTTCCCTTCTCAGCACAATGGTCATCCTGTTGCAGAGCCTGGTGGCTGCAGGAGACGCAGTCGTAGATGAGCCTGCTCTAGTTCAGGGACATGAACAGACACAGACAACTGCATGGGACGAAATTCAATGGACAGAAGGTGAGACGAAGATCAGACAGATCGTCTCTCAGATCACCGGGCTACCTGAAAACCAGATTGCCAAGAATTCCTCATTCTTTGCGCTAGGGATCGACTCGGTGATCTCTATCCGGCTCGCCCGTTGCTTCCAAGAACATCAGATGAAAGTGTCTTCAAGCGATATCTTGAGATATCCGTCTGTCGGGTCACTGTACAATCATCTGGAGAACGCTTCGATTTTACCTTCCGTACGCCAGAGTGAACAGACTAAATTGGTTCCACATGCGGACATCAATCTTTTACATGGAGACGACTCAATCGTTGAGACATACCGCTGCACGCCGCTGCAGACGGCCATGATAGCACATTGTTTGAGCACTAACGGGAAGGATTATGTACACCACCACATCGTCACTCTAGACGACTCCGTCAACCTTGGTCATCTGGAGAGTGCGTGGAAGCAGCTTGCAGAGCAGGCTGATATTCTGCGGACTACATTCCATCGGCATGAGGCAGGTGGTGGCTTCTTAGCTGCGGTTCATAAGCACCCATCGATACGGTGGTTCTATGATATCGAAGAAGAATCGTTGGCAAACGCCATTCGTCGAATCTTGGAAGAAGGGGGTTATCCCGAGATAGACAGCTTCCAAGCTTCACCTTGGAAAGTTCACATTCTCCAACACAACGCTCAGCGGCTAATGATCGTCACTATGCATCACTGTCTGTATGACGGGCTCTCTCTTCTACTCACGTTTGACTCCTTGGAGGGGATCTACCGCGGACAAGATGTGATAGTCCAGCCATTCGCGCCGGCTGCTCATAGGGTCGCAAACCTTCAGGAACAATCCACGCAATTCTGGATCACTGTTGTGGCAGGGTATCGATATTCTGGTATTCCAGCTCCAATAGACTCTTCCACAGAATCCCAACCGCAATGGGCAGAGGTCAAGGTGCAGATTCCGGCGGCGGAATTGCTACATCGATGCAGCTCCCTCGAAGTCACTCTGCAAACCGTCGCCCCGCTTGCTTATGGAAGGTCACTGGCAGTCCTGTTAGGGCAGCGCGATGTGGTATTCGGCCATGTTGTTTCTGGACGTGGGCTGGATGATGGCACCACTGGGTCAATCATGGGCCCTCTTATCAACACGGTGCCTTTTCGTCTGACACTGGACTCCATTCTGCAGAGCACTCGCTCGGCCCTGCGGGCTATTCAACACTTCTGTGCGGATGCTCTACAGCATCAGCACGTCTCGTTAGGTCAGGTCCAGAAAGGCTGGCGTTTAACGAGCCAGAGCCCCAGTCCGTCACTGTTCGACGCGCTCTTCACATTCAACAAGTCGGAGAGTCCGGATCGCACCTCGATATTCCAGCCGTACGTGTCGGACCGCGAGCTGGTCTCTCCTCACTACAAACTCAATGTCGAATTCGAGCAAGCTCCGGAATCTCTGTTTATTCGGGTGTCTTGTCGCGATGTTTTCGCGGGAAAGAGTGAGCTCAAAGTCTGGCTCGAGACGCTTGCTCAAGGGCTGGCCGAGATTGTCAACTGCCCCGATGCGCCCGTGCTGAGCTTTCCAACTGGGCTTAGTGCCTTGCCCCTTGCTACCCCCTGCCAGCAGGTTGTCGATGAAGAATCTGGCGATTCTCCGGAAGCGGCTTACCAGGCTACAGTCATCAAGGAGATTCTTGCGACAGTGACGGGGACCCCTGTTGAGCAGATTCGTAACGATAGCAGCGTATTCACACTCGGAGTGGACTCGATTTTGGCAATTGACATCAGTGCCAGATGCCGGAAGGCTCGATTGAGACTCTCTGCGAGTGATATTCTACAGGGAAAGACAGTCCGAGGCATTGCGAGACTTGCTGCGAAGCATCTGATCACCTTACCGAATACGGGACTCGAGGCTGTTCATCATACCATGATAACTCGCGAGTCAAGAGAAAAAGCATTGGCTATATTGTCTCTGGCCGAAGAGGACGTAGAGGCTATTCTACCTTGTCTCAGCGGTCAGCTTTTCTACATATCTCGCTGGCTTCAAAGTGGCAGACGACTTTGGGAGTTCACATTCGCGTTCCGCAGCAGTGTTCGGATTGATGAGAGGCGGATACAGGATGCTTGGCACGCGCTTCAGGAGAGACATAGCATTCTTCGCACCTCTTTTGCCGCCGTGTCTTCCGCTGAGGTTGTGCAAGTCGTGTCTAAAAGTCCTCGGGCCGACAGAGTTCACGTGGAGAGGCGACTGTGCAATGAGGCATCTCAGGGTTCCGTTCGTCATTCTATCGACAGGAATGCAGCTTCCTCGTCGACCATGTTCATACCACCAGCCAAATTGTGTCTTTTAGACTCGCCAGACTCTGACGTCCTCCTACTAACCCTCCATCATGCCTTGTATGACGCTTGGACAATCCCTATCATGTTGGGAGATCTGGAAGCCCTCTATCTGGGCAAATCTCTATCAGCTCCGGCTGACTTCTCCTCGTTTGCCCGCCAAGCCCAGCGCAAGCCCGATTCGTCCTGGCGACGAAGGCTCAGCATGGGGCAGCCCACGATTCTAGGGTCAAACGCCTACAACCAGCAGAACTTCCAAGATGTCAAGTCTTCCGAGCTTTTCTGCCTGCAAAAGCTGAGCCAGGTTGAGAGTCTCTGTCACCAGAAAGGCATCTCGATGCCCTCCGTCATTTTTCTAGCCGTTGGCCGCGGCCTAGCGCGTATCACAACAGTCGACCACCCAACATTCGGACTCTTCTCAGCGGGGCGGTCCAACGACTTTCCTGGTATCCATCGGCTGGCGGGTCCAACAGTGAACATGCTACCTTTTGTCGTTCAGAACGCCCTCTTCGGGCCCGTATCGGCCAGCATCAGCGACATCCAGCAAAGCCTGAACGAACGTGCTCTGCACGACCAGACAGACCTCCGAGACCTGCTCCAGATGATGAAATCGTCCGGTAACGATCTCCAATTCAATTTGCTTGTCAATATCCTCTGGGGCAAGTTGAAGCGTGATGCCGGTGGCGATGCTGGGGATAGTATTCTGACCCCGTGTCGCATCGGCCCTTCTGAAGGACCCATGACTGCGTTGTTAACCGAGGAGAAAACGTCTGTTGACGCCTTGGACTTGAACGACTTGCCGTGTCGTCGCAATCTAATGCTGGAGGTGGCGTATAGCGAGCAGGAAGATGCGATGCTGTGGAAGATCGACTATACTTTGGATATTATGTCGTCTCGCGAAGCCGAGGGAATTCTAGAGGTGATTGGAAAGGAGGTTGAGGAGGTTGTCAGAGCACTTTCGTCAGATTAGCTCTCCTTTTTGAGCTCTGCTTCAGTGCTCGTGTACCGGTACTGCTGGATGGCTAGCGTTACGTTTGTGTTAATACATACTTCAACAATCCGAATCATTCGCCATAAAAGCATGAAATGTGAACTCGGCCGCGGGAGTAGAGGGTAATTAGAGAGATCAAACCAAAGCAGAGCAAAGCCTGAGGCAAATTCATGCTCAACCCCTGCGGCTAGTTGACTCAGTGGAGGCTGGGAGGATAGTCGCAGCCCGTGGATCCGAAATTTATCCGTTCGTGTGCCTCAGCTCTTGTCCAAAGATCCCTGCTGGTATGGTTTGATATTCTTGTATCTCCTGTGATGACAATGGGGGCCAGTTGATGCAGTCGATGGACATCTAGTGTGTCAAAAGATGCGTGAAAGGATGAAGAACGATCAAGCGAGGCGATCGCAGCGGAAGTGACAGCCACCGGCGGGCGGGCGGTGAGCGGGGTCGCCTCCAGGCTGCAAGGCCCCAGGCCGCGATCATGATGCTATTACATGATTTATATATCAGTCAGTGTGTCATTACTAGTAGGTAGGGATCAGCCTTCAGAGTAAGGAGTATGCGTAGGTACCTTAGATCCTGGCGATTGCCATTTCGGGCGAGTGGTGGTCTGGCCCCCATTCAACTCGTCTACTATGCCAAGTCTCCTACCAGGTTAGATACGAGGTTCTTGGTATACTGCCAATGCTGACGGTACAGACAATCAGGGGCGGTGGATTGGAGCTGGTCATGTGGAAGAAATCTGGTAGAGGGATACCCCTGGGGCTTACATTCAAAGGAGACCGATGAAAATACATATGTAACCCCGTCTGTCCACGGACTGGCGCATGGAAGAACAAAACATTCAAGAAGCAAAACGTTCCCCAAAAAATAATTGCAGTAAGTGTTAGCCTCGTCTCAGTCAGTCTAACTGGCTTTCATTGCCTCTTCTATCGGAATTGCACTGTCCTTTCTGACAATCTCACAGATCCCTCTCTTCGTCCACCAAGACAACACGACATCACACACCATGCTCATCAAAACCATCATCGCCACCAGTCTTCTGGTAACCACCGGCGCCCACGCCGCATCCCACTACGTCACCGTGAAGATGTGGTCCCACTCAAACTGCACCGGCACCCCGCACGAGGAGACCCTGGTCTTCAACACCGGCGGCGGCCCCCAGGTCTTTCAACAGAGCTATATTTGGCAGAGCGGGACAATTACTAGTGGGGTCTCCGCCTGCGGTGTCCACTTCTGTCAGTTCGGCGAGAGTTGCTTTGGTCATCCGATCGTCTACGTGGGATGGTCCCCCAATTGCTTCACGGGTGGTGATTGGATGGATCTCGACAAGATCATGGTGGATACTTGTTAGGTTTGCGTTAGCATAGATCTTCTAAATCTCTGTTGTTCAAGCCTTACGGTCTGCACTGTTATCCTTGTCATCAGGTTGGGTCTCCTGACTTTCGAGCCCGGGGTTGTGGTCCAAGGGAGGGAGCACGGAATTGGCATATGTGGCGGGTATGTCTTATTGTGATATCATAGAACACTACGAGATGAGATATCGAAGCAGTATCATATCCCTAAACATCGAACACCGTGTTCGGCATTATCTCGTAGCTGGTGAGCTGGAATCTGTGGTTTAGGCGGTTTCGTCCTATCTCTGTACATATTCTCAAGGTGGCAGAGAATTGTTGAATACAAATTAGTTGGGAAAGGCAATGTACATAATTGGACCGAGTCTTGTCTGCAGTGGCTGAAACCAACAAGGATGCATTACCATATTCCTGACTTGCTAGGGAATTACAAATGGCTGATTGTTTGAGGGATTCAGGGCTTCAGCACTCCAAAAGACGGAGCGGTAGCCTCGAAGATTGGCTGCGCTACTTTCATTATCCGCAGGTCGGTATAGAATCATGCCCCATTTATGTTGCTTATATAATATAGTCATAGCGTTCGTCTTCACGAGATAAGTCCTGGCTGGATCCACACCAAAATGAGACTCTGTCGGGGAAGGATGTAGGTCTATTTTGTCTTTACGAATTACCCATGAATAATCACAATACCACCATAATCTCACTCTTTTTTCGGGGGTGTTCGAGCCGCATCTGAAAGTAAGTGCCCTATGCATCAGCATTAACCTAGCACATGTTAGTGCCCGGCTAGTTTCATGTTAAACTCGATTTGTACTAAGTATGTCTTACGCCGAGCACCTCGATTGGCCCTCTAATCTTCCTGATGACGCCCCGTGCATGCGAGATTGACTCACTGACACCTAAACCAATACCTCCCGTAAGCCCTAATTCTGTTACCAAGCAGCACATAAATACACCTTCACGCCCCCCCACTCCCCCCCCCAAACTCCACCCTCTTACCGCACGTAACCAGAACATCTCGATGTCAACAGCACCGCAATCAGATCCAAAAGCCCCCGCCGCCCAACCAAGCCCCTACACCTATACCGACGAGCAATGGAAAGTCCACACCGTCCACCCACAGCGATGCTATTCCCGCAGTAGAGAAGATGGAACGCTGCGCCCCACTCGCCCAGCGCCCTGTCTCTCCATAGGGAATCCGGACATTGCGCCACGAACGGGGGCCGAAAAAGCCCGCGCAGCCGACACGGCGCTGTGGGGAAGCTGCAAGAGCGTCGAGGAGTACGAAGCGAAGAGAAGGGAGATGGACGACGACGTCGCCGCCCGCGCAGTCGAAGCAGGACGGGCGACCTTTCATCCGTTTCCACGCCTGCCGGCCGAGTTGCGATGTCAGATCTGGGCCATGGCCATGGCCGACAACCCCACCGGAGTCTCTATCACCTGCACGGGTTATACGCCGCCTCAACGGCCGCGGGGATGGTGTAAGACGGTGGCCCCGGGCCGTCCGAAGATCTATGCGGCCACCGCGTTCATGCCGCCGCTGATGCTGGTCAACTGGGAGGCGAACGCCCTGGCGTCGCGCCACTACCGGCGGGCCTTTCGGGGCGTCAATGGCGGCGGGGGCGTTCTTGCTGCCTATCCGAGTATTCTCACGATCGAAAAGGCGATGATCCGCCTCCTACCCATGGATCGTGCTGAGGACCTCGAATTGCTTGCCGAGATCATTGTGATTATTTCTCCGGGCTATGGTGGGAGGGTGGCGTTCTCCAGGGAGTTTTTGGAACGAATCAAGATGATGCTGAGGATGGTGACCATACGTTGTCTGGATCTTCGGCTGACGAGATCGATCCCTCGCGACCGGGCGCGCAGCGTTGAGGAGTACTTTGCATTGCTATTCTCTGAGATACAGGCGGCGAATCCAGAATGGGTTAAGCCGGAGCTGCAGGTGGGGCCTGTGCATGACGAGGAGAAGCCTAGGACTGATTCGGATTCGTCTTCAGAGGGCGTGTTTACTGATGACGATTAACAGACCGACGACAGACTTGACTTAATGTTGACAGTCATGAGACGTATTAAGCATTCAGATAAACGACTAGATGGAGTGTAAGTCGTCTTATAAAGACGAGTTGCGTACCTATTGCCATAGTCTCAAAATAAACATGCATCGCAGAGAAAAAAGGTATGCGAGTCTAGACGTGAACGCAGTGCATCAAAGCCCCAGATTATCATATAAGCCAATGTTCTGTACTCAGTGACGGGGCCTGCTCCGCATGCAAAGCTTGTCGCCAAAGAAAAGGGTAGGACACTGACTCCAAAGATAGGTCAGACCATCAACTTACTGTAGCCCAAAGGGACCGACACGGTTACCGCGCACAAGACAAATGATGACAGCCAGCATTCACCATGCGACGCCTGCCGCCGGAAGGTTCGGTACTGTGGATATCCATAGAAACAAAAGTAGTCAGCTAGCTGTACGCGCCAAGAACGAGGATACCAATCTTCTCCAGATGCAAGTATAAGAGCTACAGGGCCGAATTCGCGAAACTAGCAGCGCGGATGGTATCGGAGTCAAGCCCAGGGCGGAATGTGGAATTCATGAACGGAGTTATGATTGCAAGTTCCTACAGGAAATGCAAGGGATGGACCGCTCATGAAGATGATCATTGAATCTGATCTTAGATCTGTTCGCTCACAGTGCCGAACAGAGGGGTGATTGTCAGGCAAGCAGATTAATCACTGGCGATTATTGCATTGGGACAACGTCTAATGGCTTGGCACCGCATCCCCCCCAAATTCCACAAAGTAAATTTAAGAGGATCGGATATTGCTGAGCAGTACGGAGTACATCTAGCATTCTTCCTTGTCTGCTTGAGTCACGCCTTGTTGGTCATAAGTTAATTGGACATGAGGCGACCAGTCTACTCACTTTCAGCAGATCTTGATAGCAACTTTTGGTACAAGATGATCGAAGCACATGGAGAAAGTCCGAGCTCTATTGCTAGAGTCCAATAGCTGCCTAATAGAGATTACCAACCTGGCTGTAGTGTTACCCATAAGACACAAACCCGATCTATACTATAGCAAAGACCGTCATATGCCAACAATCGTGCTGGGTGAACAGCTGTACTCCGCATCACCAATCCACCTACCCACCAAAGCCCTAATTGCTAGTAAAATAATTCACCGCCACCAACTTTCCCAGCTTAAACTGCACCTCCGCGGCATCAAGATCATAGCGCATGCGATGCATGTTCCCCAGCTTCTGCCCACCCGGTGGAGCGTACCTCTCCCCCACAAAATCCGCCGGCTGCTCGTACAGGAAGAAGATATACCGATGCGGCGAGCTGCCAGGGGGCGGGGCGGGACCGATGTAGTTCGCCACGAACGGGGCCGTAACTTTCAATACGTGGACACTCGAATCAGTTTCTGATGCAGTGGGCTGCAAACCCGGCTGGATCCAGTGCAGGATGGGGCCGAGGACGCCGAATGAAGGGAAGGGGGCGTCGATGTCGAGGCCGATGACCATGTAGGTCGTGCTTGGCGAGAGGTTGCCGAAGGAGAGTTCCGGCGGAGATTGTGCCTCTGTCACACAGCATCAGGCTTGTCAGTCTTGGTTCCAGATTGCCCCGCATTGCGTGGATTCCTGACCCGCTCGGGGGATGTACTGGCCCGGTTGGACATCCCTGTGTTGGCCGACATTCAGGCCAAGCACTTTGGTGGCGTCGGCCTCGATCAGCGAGAGGGCCTTTTTGACGCTTTGGTTCGCGGGCATCGTGTATGAGGATAGAGATGCTTGGCTGGTTCGCTTGTGAGATGTGCATCAGCTATGTTGAGGGAATGGGTTAAAGGTCTCTTCCTGGTTGTTGGATTGACTGAGTTGGGGATTGGTTTTAAGGGTCGGAGATTGGGCAGCTCCGTCGGAGATTGGACAGCTTCGTCGGAGATAAGAACCACGCATTCAAGTCAACAATCCTCACAATGCTCTAATACAGTATATGGCACACACGATATTCCGGAGATAAGAATGCATTTCGTATCTTCGTCTCATCATTACTGGGTTCAGTTGACACAAGAATAGACATTTGGTAAACATCATTGATGAAAGATGATCTGCGCTGTTACAAATTCAATCATCTCAACTTCACTAGAACTTGACCTTCTTCGAGCATATCCTCTAGTCCAACATCAAGCTATTGCAAAGCAAGTCGGAAGGTTCTTAAAGCAAAACATAATCCACCCACGTTCCACCCCACTTCTACTCCTTCATCCGAACATGCTCGTCGGAACCGCCTTCCGTTCCACTAGAGTCTCCATCCGACCCCAAGCCCCATGGGTGTCGCTCCACGTGTCGGGCTTCTATGAAGATCTTCCAGAGAATCGTGACGATATCATGGCCGAGCCCTGTACCCTTGTAGGGTTTGATAGTGAAATGGTACTAGAGAAGAACTATTAGCAAAGTCTCTCTCCATGCCCAAAACCCCCCAGCGCAAATGCTTGCCTTCCCCGGATATTCGAATCGATAAAAGGCCATTGTATCCCCGTCGGTGGCCAGGCCGTAGACGACGGGGCTCGTCTCGCACGCGTCTTGCCTGGTTTTGTGGACCATGACTAATGATATGATATGCAGCGATTAGTATAATGCCCCAGGCTCGAAGGAAGTCTGGTATAGAAGGACTAGGAAGCACATACACAAGTAAGCTAAAAGCTCCGTGTCCGGCGCCGAACTCATCGGTCTGTCCCTCTCCAGGATCACGAAGCGCACCCGAGGGCGACGTTTACGGAGGCGGGATATCACCGTGAAGTCCGGCACGCCTGAGAGTCTGGCACGAGGCCATCTCAAGTCGTAGGTCAGGGCGGTTCTGGACTGCACGTACGTCATGCAGGCGTTGATGCCGTGGACGAGGTTGACCTCATAGGCGATGCGGTGGAGCGTCCACTCGAGCGCGCTGCTGGGGATCTTGTCACTTCGCTTGGGCTCGACGAGAGAGGTCTGCGTCATCAAGGTAAGGAACCCAGCTATCTGACTATCAGTTACCCGTGCACGCTCTCGACGCACCAAACACAACCGGTGTGGGCAACCAACTCACCAGGGATCGGAACCCTAGCCGAAGGGGCGTCCCAGTCGTAGCGCTCGTCGCTCGGTGAGACACCGAACATCCTGGGGAAGAACCTGTCTTGGAGGGTCCCAGCCCAGAGGGTAGACGTCTTATTCTCGGGTCGGAATCTCAGGTGTTCGATGCTATCCTCGAGGTTGTCCAAATCCTCTCTCTGCTCTTCTATCAGGTTCAGTTGCACCTTGGCGCGCTCCAATACTCCGCATAGCTCATCCATGCAGAAATCGATCGTGATGATGGCTGACTCGTGGCACTGGAGCAAGTGCTTCAGCTCTCTAGATTGGTCCTTTGTGAATGAATATTCCGGGACTGGGAGCAGATCCCCCGTCCCCAATAAATCTGGTATTCTTGACATCGTGCAAAGGGTAGGGAAGGTGGGGTATATTATGATCGGGATGAAGGTGGAAAGATGTGTTGAGTTGGACGTGTGAAGGGCTGTGTGCGAGTGTTGGCGGAAGTTGTGCTCGAGGGACCAGGTAATGGAGTCATGGTCATGGGACGGGTTGCAAATTTCGCTCCGAATGTTGTCATGATGATTGCCACGCTCCGTGAATCTGCGGTAAGAGTCGCCATGATAATGTACATACGGTCCGGCAAGGAGGCCAGTCACTTCCCCAGGACGAATTTCTCCCGTATCATCCATCAAACAAGACACCACCTTGCTCATTTGAGACCCCACACAGACCCATCATCCCGTCTCTATATCCCCACATCAAACCCCCAACCATGCCGTGTTACCTATTCATCAAAGTAGGTGCATGGATCGACGGAAAGAAAGAGACCTTCCACGAGAAGCGCGGGAACTTCCACCAGGCGCAGGGCGCCCGCCTGCGACTCTTCGCGTGGGATCTGGCTGCCCGCAAATTTGAAGATCCATTCGAACTGCAGCAGGGAGTCCAACTATGGCGCAGCATGATATCCCTGATCCAGAACGACAACGACCTCAACTTCGAGATCCAGCACGAGGCCGCTCTGCAGCACAAACACCAAGTCCTGGACGCGATGCTCCGGCATCTCGCCGACACTAGCGATGTAGGGTCTGAACCCATCTTCTCGGCCATGTCGCAGATGCAGGCGATCGAGAACGAGCTGTGCACGGTCCACGAGCAGATCTGGAAGCTCGAGCGGAAGGCGCACCGGATCCTGCGCAAATTCCCCGTCAGCTTTGGGCCAGTCAAACGTGCGGTGTGCGCCAACCGGGCCAGGCCGGACTGGCATCTGACGGAATTCCTGCGGGAGGACTGCGAGGGCCGCGGCGGGTGCTGCGGGCGCGGGTGCGGCTGTTGCGCCGGACCCCGCAGCGCGCACCGGGCGAAATGGGGCCATTGCACCGCCGCCTGTGTGTGTTGTGAGCGGGCCCGTGGCTTTGCGGTGGGCAAGCACGTTCGCTGGGAGCCCGTTCGTCTGCCGGCTCTGGATGATGCCGAGTGGATCACGGGGGACATGCTGCAGCTGTTGGTCGCCTACGCGTTTGGGCTCACGGTGGAGGATGACTGGCTTTGAAGAGTGCTGTGCGTTTATGCTACCGAAAGATGGCCCTGGACTTGCTAGTTTTGATATGAGATGCTTTTTGCTTAGAAGAGACCGTGTTCTAGATCAACCTTGTGTACCTTTGTTTGGGTTCTTGCCGATCCTAGACCGCCTACAGCTTTGTACTTGCGTGCTTTTCCAATTTATGTTCCTATTGTGCCCTTCTTTTGACCTTTGTATACGACTGTGGAATCCCTACAACGTGCAGGCACCGCAGACACTACGGAAAGGGAAGGTCGCCTACACAACAACACTTTTTGAAAAAGGAAATTCATTGGATAGACGGCAGGTTCCCTCGTAAGGACTGGGTATATCAAAACTATATAATCGACTAGATATCAGCAACTTGACAACTAGAGAAATAAGCAGCAATATGATGATGACATGGTAGGCCGCATGAAGCTAGGCAGTCAGCCGTTTTCCTTCGCTCGACAACACTATCGAGCGTCTGTAGTTTGCAGGCCAGACTCGAGATATACCAATGATGTCACCTACGTGTGGGCCAAGCTGCTGACCTACAGATTCACCACCAATCACTGCAGGTCCAATTGACGGACATATGCTTAAACCCGAGTCAGCTGTCAGCATTTAGCCCCTGGTCTGTGCGCCGACCCACATGCATGAAGCGATCACGAATAGGAAGGAGCACCGAGCTCCCGAGAGCCCGAATCCGGCGCATCTCTGTCATCATGCAACCTTAACGTAGCCGAGCGATGAGCCGATCGGACCCTGGAATTAGCAATCCGGTGCTTAATTAACTGTTGCCTATTCATTTCCTCGGAGTCTTATATTTACCCCGCCCCAGCTGCAGTGAGCTTAGATCAGACTACAGCATACAATCAAAAATCTTCAACTCATCATGGTCAAATTCCTCCCCTTCGCCGACCTCCAGGTCCCCTCGCCCGGTTTCGGCGCCATGGGCCTCAGCTTCGGGCTGGGCAACAACCTGAGCTACGAGGAGGCCGAGCCCGTGCTTCTGAAGGCGATCGAGCTGGGTTGCACCTTTTGGGATACGGCCGTACGTTGACCCCTCTCACTTTCTTCATAGCATCTTCTTCGAATCCTCTAATTATTAATGCACAGGTTGTCTACCAAGCCGGTGTCAACGAGAAACTCCTTGGTGACTTCATCCGCAAGCATAACGTGCGCGACAAAGTGTTCAGTACGTCCCCGCCCTTGCCATCAGCACACAAATTTAGACCACTAACCCGGATTAATGAACGATCGCAGTCGCCTCCAAATGCGGCTTCGACGTCTTCGGCAACAAAGGCGTCACCAACTCCGCCGCCCACATCAAGGAGTACATCGAGGGAACGATCGAGCGACTCGGCTTCGCCCCGGACCTGTACTACCTGCACCGGATTGACCCTAGTGCGTTGCACCACTGGACCCCCAGCCACAGTTTCCCCGATACTAACGAATCCCGAAAATGATAGACACCCCCCTCGAAGAATCCATCCCCGCCCTAGACGAGATCCGCAAGGCCGGAAAGACCAAATACATCGGTCTGTCGGAGTGCTCTGCGGCGACGCTCCGCAAGGCGAACTCCAGTATGCCCCCTCATTGTTCTCCCAGAATGTTTACACTATGGATCAACGTATTAATGGTGTCTGTCATCCGTAGTCGCCAAGATCGACGCCGTACAAGCAGAATACTCCGCTTTCGAGACCATCCATGAGACGGACGGGCTGATTGACACAGCTAAGGAGCTGGGCGTCGCCTACGTGGCGTACAGCCCGCTGGGCCACGGCTGGCTGGTCGATAACTTCGACTACCAGTCGCCCGAGGACTTCAAACCGGATGATTTCCGGCGGACTTGTACGTATACCTTTTTATCCCCAGTCCCCTTGAAGATTTTCCGGGCGCCCCCGCCCTTTCAGTCTAGTCTGATGTGCTGATGTTCGGACCAAGCCCCCAAATTCCAAGGCGAGAACTTCTACAAGAACAAGGCGATCGTGGAGGAAATCAAAAAGCTGGCGGCACGCAAGGGCTGTTCGGTCAGCCAGATCGCGCTGGCCTGGGTCGCCGCCCAGGGGATGATCGCCATCCCCGGGACGACCAAGGTGGCCCGGCTGGAGGCGAACTGGGCGTCGCGCGAGGTGGAGCTGAGCGAGGCGGAGCGCGCGGAGATGCGCCGGATTGTGGACAGCGCCAAGCCGCACGGAAATCGGTATGGGGCGGCGAACCAGGCGCTTGTTGGGCATTAGAGAGGTGAAGTGGAGTAGGAGTGGGGTGATAGGATTGTAGAGTTCCGATAGCAATCGAGAGAATACACATCGCCTGTCTGTGTACATACTGTATTGATGAGGGCTTAGTCCACAGATCCACTGTTACCAGCCCCCAGCGAAAAACGCCGATTGGTCGTAGTTGTCGATGTGTGAAGGGGCGGTCATCTCGACTTTTGGTGCAGAGCATTAAGGAGACGGGTGGAAAAGAAGCAACCCGTTATCTTTGCTGGCTGCCTGTTGTTAAACATCCCTTCTTGCCCCTGGATAGTAGCATATAAGTGGGTGCTCCTCTTTTGGTGTGGTATATGCTCTCTCCCCCAGCTCTGTTGCCTGTAAACGCAAGCATTTATCTAGCCGAATCTGATCTAGAATGATATACCAGCATCGACCCTGCAGACCGTACAAATTGCTAGACTGAGTTAGATCTAGTACAAGGCAGTGGTTCTTAAAAGTGCCAAAGCAACATGACCATTTCGTCGAAGACTGGCTCTGCGCCCTGATCATTCAAGGACGATTATTTTATAGATTGTCTAAGAGAAGGAAGGGATTTGTCTGTTCACGAACGCGGACTCCTCACGATCTCCTCACCCTCACATCACCCATCGTACAGCATAAACAGAACGAGCAAACAGACTTTTTCAAAGAAGATGATATTGAAGTAACCACATAAACCCATACCGCGCAGATTAAACCAAAACACAAAACCAGACCTCCAGATACAGGGCAGGCAAACTAGCAAGTGTTCACCAAGATCTTATCGAAGGCCATGGTGGGGCCGCCAGTGTAGCAGTTGGGCGACCATCCGGCGGACACGTCGGGGTTGTTGTAGCAGCTGGAGCCGTACTGGCAGAAGGCGACGCCGCAGGCGGAGGCACCGCCGGCGATCTGACCGCTGGCCCAGGTGTAGCCGTACTGGTAGACCTGGTTGCCGGCGCCGGTGTCGTAGGCGATGGTCTCCTGGTGGAAGGTTCCCGTGCAGTCGTCGCCGGTCCACAGGTTGACGGTGACGTACTGGGAGCTGGCCAGGGCGCCGGTGGCGGCGAAGAGGGCGGTGGCGAGGGTCTTGGAGAGCATTCTTTTTCGTTGATTGGGTTGGATGGAGGAGAAGTAGGACTCTGTACGGGTTAGATTGGCCCTGGTTAGCTGGGAAGGGAGATGGGATATGCTCACTGTGGGAGATTGCAGAGGCGATGAAGGTGAAGATTGAGATTGGGATTGATGCTGCTGGGAGACTGTCGATGGGGTGACTCGACCTATTTATGTTGTCGAGGTCCCGGGCTTCTTCTCTTTGAAGATATCGATTGCCAGGCAAATATCTCTACAGTCGATTGTCGAGCTATTCCGCCACCTAACAAACCGTGAGTCTGTCGGAGATAATCTAACTCTCGTATTCATCTATACTCCAACCCCGATAATCTGAGACCCTCGTATTCGAATAGACTCTAACCTCAGCACGGCTGGCGGGCCGGACCGGTGGGGCGCGAAGTTTCTTATCTCTAGCAATCAGCAGCCGCAGCCTCCCTGCCAAGATCACAGAATCCACTCGACGACCCTGACCTCTAACCATATCCAGAATATGGAGTTGGAGAGGTCATCTACGCTGCAAAGTTTTTCCCGTGTGGACCTCAGGGGAATACGAAATCGTCTTTGTGCCTGCGGGTTCCTCAGGCTGGATAGAGTAACTCGACTACGCTGCAGTCGTCTTGGCGGACCGTAACGGGGAATCTCATCGCTTTCACGGAGACATATTCTTGGCAGGCTATATCAAAGGTCTTAACACTGCACTGGGGGAATGGTGTCGGAAGGGTATGTCGCCTTGGATGAAAGGCGCAGCTATCAACGGCGGTATCACAGAGACATACTCAGGGTTACACTAGGCTCTTGAAGCACTGGTTCCCTACACTCCGGCCCCAGGCGATCACAGATACTGCATAATTCAGGAACAACAAGGGTCTCTTCTTCAGGGAGCCAGCCGGCGGCCGAGCCGGGAAAACCCTAACATTACCAAAAAGAAAAATCTCGGGCTCTTGATCCGCTGCCAGATCTAAGTGGGTCGGGTCATACGGTGACTACACCGCATCAAGGTATGGCGCCGCCGACCCTTTTGCAACCATTGGCTGCTTCGGTTGAGAAGAATGCACTAAAATAAAGCCACTGGATCCTCGATAGAATGAATCAATGAGGGACCGGCCAGACCATTTCGTGATAACCAGGGAACAGTTTAACCAGGGAACTCTATATTGCCAGTATACGTACCCGGTTTAGCGCGGTACCACTCCCGTTTTTTGAACCACTGTTACCAATCTGCTCTCTTCATTTCAGCTCTCTCACACCACTTCCTGTCCAGGAGTGAGCCGAGGTCCATTGAGAGGGTGACATAAAACAGCTTAGCTAGAATTCCTCTCGAGTCAGGACGTTCTGAGGATTGTAAGTTCATCATACCGAGTCTCCGCTCCCCGTACCTTGGCTCCTGCGAGAACCAGCCACGTGACCTCGCAAGACCTCGTGCCTCAGCAAGTATAGTTCTTGATGTATTTGGGTAAAGTTCTTCCTCAAAACCACACTGATCATCTAGGAAAATATCCTTCGTGCACAAGCAGCACAGCAGTGGTAGCATTCACCCCATCGAAGTACTCCCACCACCACCACCACCACCACCACCACCACCACCCATCTCAATCCCCTACCCCCGCAACCCGCCCCGCCCCGGGAAAACCCACCCTACGCAACCCCTTCCTCCCCCTTCGCCTGCGCACTCGCATTGATCTGCACATCCGTCAAATACGTATCAAACTTGCGCAGATTGACCCGTTTCTCGAACCTGCACACACACCCTGAATTAGCACATCCACCCGACCCACCACACCAGAATCCAGGGTAACATACAGCTCATCGATCTCCGCCGGCGTCCGACGCGTCACCTCGGGAAGAATAAACCACGCAACCACCACGGCGACGGCACCGGTGCCGGCGAAACTACATCCGCTCGCGTTAGCTTGCAACACCAGACTGACTACTTATTGACCAGATGCAGGGTTGGTGGGGGCATTGACATACAAGAATCCCGTCTTGGGCCCCCAGTGCGTAGACACGCCGTTGATCATCAGGGGCGTGCAGAAGCTGAACATGATGGCGATCAGATTGGAGAGCGCCAGGGACCAGGCGGCGGTTTGGGCGCGGAGGCGCTGCGACGGGATCTCGGCCGCGTAGGCGTATCCGATGGCCGAGGCGCCGGTGGTGGAGAAGGTGGCGAGGCAGGCGAAGAAGATCTGTGAGAGTGGTTTGGTCAGGGTGGAACTGGGAAGGGGGATGGTATGGTGGGGTGAAGCGGTGGTAGACTTACGAGAAGAGAACTCAGGCTCGATTTCGTGTAGTCAAAGCAGCCGACGATCCCTAGGGCTAGGACGGATAGGACGGTCACCCCGTACGGATAGACGGTCAGGGGCCGCCGGCCCACCCGGTCGGTGAGCACGCAGGTGACGCTCATGGCGATGATCTGCACGCAGGAGAGGATTAGGGTGACGAGGAAGGGGTCGTCGTTGCCGGCGTATTGAACTATATCAAATGTCAGGATTGATCATCGGGGTGGTGTGTCATTGGGAAGGGGGTGTACAGAAGTAGGTCGCGTAGGTGTTGAACACGGACAGCCCTACGAACTGCTGGACGATCTTGGGCCAGCCTGCGATCAAGAAGCGGAGGAGGTTGCGCCCCTGGAACACGGCCCAGGCCCCTTGGCTGCGGTTGCGTTCTGCGAGGCGCCGTTCTTCCGTGATGGTCGCGGTCATGATGCCAATCTGCTCGTCCACGTTGTAGCCCTGGACGCGGCCGCAGCAGAGGCGCAGCACTTGGGCCGCCTTCTCCGGCCGGTCCTTCCCTACCAGCCACCACGGTGACTCCGGGAGGAGCACGAAGATGATGCCCGCAACCCCGACCATCGCCCACTATTCACGGTCAGCGCAGTCGACCTATGGGATTGGTTCGCAACACGAACCTGAGAATAAATCGGCGTTCGGAAATCATAGGGATCAGTAGAGTGCAGGCGGTTCAGGGCGACCGAGGCGAAGAGTTGCCCGATGACAAACCAGCTGATATTATTTGCACGATTAGTTGGGAGGTTAACAGGGAGGGATGAAACCACAGGCACGTACAAGCTATATGCGTTGATGAGGAACCCTCGCAGCTGAGTCGGCGCTATCTCAGACAAATAAAGAGGCATGGTCGACTGCAGCATCCCCACCCCCATGCCGGAGAAAAGCTTGGCCACTAGCCAGTGGTCCCAGTGCGTCGCGAACGATTCGATCATCACGCTCTATACCAGTAGCTTTCAGCAGGCGACCCACAAACGGGGAAGGGGACAGGATGCATACAATCACAAAAGTAAGGAAGATGATGTATAAGGCGATCTTACGTCCGTATCCGTCGGTCACGTACTGGAGAAGCTGTATCGCAAGTCATTAGTGCCAAAAAAAAAAAAAAAAACATGCACTAATCTTTGCGACTTACAATTTGACCGATTGTCTGGCCAGCAGACTGAATACCACCCCATGCCGAGATATACTTGCCCGCGATGATCGACGTTCCGGGACTAGCCATTTGCTGGATAAATCCGGTGTTGGACACCACCCCGCCGTTGAGGTTGATCTCTGGGTCAATTAGCGACTCTCCTCGTTGTTTTCCTTCCTTGGACGTTCTCCCCAGGACAAACGTACGATACCCATCCAGCGAAGCACTGAACGCGGCGGCCATTGCGATCATGGTGACGAAGCGGTACCGGCCCAGACTCTCCCAGACACTAAGGTCATCGAGTTCCGACCGCATCAGCGGCTGACCCTTTTCGGTGGAGGCATGTTGTTGCTCGGTGGGGAGGTGTTCCACCCTCTCAATCTCGACTTTCTCTTGTTCCATGGCAAAAATCACCTCTCCAAGGGACAGGTGAGGCCAGAACCAAGGCTGAAAGAAGCCTTCTGCGGGGCCCCGCATTTGGATTTATATCACATCCGGAAGAGACGCACGGGGCGTGTCGGCTAAATTGGGTTGCGGGGAAAATTGGGGGTCTTCCGCTCAACAATATTCCCCCAATCAGGGGCGTATACCAGGGGATTCCAGCTTCGGTAAGCTTTTGCCAATGATCAGCCCAGTCGCAGTTGCGCTTGCATCCCCGCAACTCGCTGTCTCTTGGCCCGAGGGGACAAATGAGCCTATTAGCCGTTCTTGCGGTAACTCGCCGGGGTTTTGGTTACTGGAATTTGGAGTGATGAGTGAGAGGGGACGCTAGGGCCCTCTGTTGTATATAGTCGACGCACTTCTGCAACTGAGTTTAACCCCCTTTTTATCTGCAAAGATGCCAACACTATCTTCCGAGGAAGAGCAGTTCAAAATCGCCCGCTGATTTGAGGTCTACGATTCTTTGCTGCGCCAAAAGGCTCGAATACCCTTTCAGCAAGCCTCCGCTCCCGATCTGGCTGTCATTTGGGGCCGTTGAGACGCAACAACGAGGCTATTTGAGCTGAAGACAGCGCCAGACCGCATATTGGCGCAGTCCGCAACGAGGTGATACTTAGCTAATCCTCCGTTATTTGTCTTTTGCGACTCGAATCCACGGTCGGCTTTCTTCCCAGCCAGGGTGAAAGCCATGCAAATAAACCACCTCTGGCAGGGGACCGCAGATCAGTCAAAATGAGCCCTTGAGGGAGGGTGCCGATGAACCCGGACCCGGACCTAGGGTCCTCAATGGCTCGTGGCTTTCGGTCGGTCGGACTGCTCAACCACTTTCCTTGCGACTGAATGTGGTAGATTCCAGTGAATCGAGATTCAATGCGATCCGATGGGAGTTAAGGGGTCCTGGAAGCCCATTTTGTAGACTAAAGCTCTCCTTGCGAGTGCGGCATAGTTATCACATGATGATCTCGGCTGTCTCTTGTCCGAGCACACCGAGTGCGGAGGGAGCATCCACCCCTAGTCAGCGGCTGCTGCCAACCCCCACAACCCCGCAACCTCCGAGACCGTATGATATTCAAGTGGAGCGATCGTGATTGACGCCTCAGACAAGATGCAAAGTTCAATCTGGATTATCTGACATGTCTCCAAACCATCATCTGAAAGACGAATCCAGGACTCACTCAAAGAAAATCAGAGTACATGGTCAACTCCCCAAGATCGAGGTACTCGGGGCTGTATTCCCCGCCCAAGGGAGACGGTGTCAGCGCTCTTGATCAATTGCAGCAATGAAAGAGTGGAGAGGATCCGAACTTACAACATCTGCTGAGTCGCCAAGAAGGCCGCCGCCGCACCGTATTCCAGGTCCGCGGAAGGGAGCGGATTCCCCTGCCCTAGGCCCACCACATCCGACCCAGTATTCAACTCCACCACACCGCTACAGAGACTCCGCACGATGCGCCCCTGCAGCGTCGCGGACTTCAACACCTCCGCCACGGAATCCATCACCTCAAGAGCCTGGTGGATCCGCTCGCGCCATCCCGCCACCGCCGCCGCCGCCCCAGACGACTCGTTCCGCACAGACATCACCGGAATCAGGACAGCGGGGAAGATAAATTGGAGGGCATACCACCCCTCCAACGCGCTGCGCTGCTGATGCTTCCCCCGAAACCAGAAATTGGCGATCGCCCGGATGGATTCGTCCGCGGCGCGCTGGCAGCGCTGGATGGCCTCCTGGACGCTCTCGGGGTCTGCGGGGAGCTTCGGAGGACTGACGCTGTGTCGCGTGGTGTAATGCCACACGATGAAGGGGCGGTACATGAGGATCTGGAAGTTGAGGCGGCGCCAGAAGAGCAGGGCGTGGGCGAGGCTGTATCGGGCTTCCTGGGGGGCGGTGCTGCGGTAGAACGCGGGGAGGGAGGCCTCCCAATCGTGGATGAGGGTATCGTCGTAATGGAGCAGCTCCCGGGCGCGCGGGTATGGGATGGTCGTGATGCTGCTGTACACCTTGCTGATAGTAGAGTAGAAGGCGGCTGTAAATTTGAGACCGGAGTATAGGATGGTCTGGTTTGCTTCGGCGTGGATGGCGGGGGTGCTCGGGGTTAGGTCCTGGATCGGGTCAATTTACAGTGGGGCAGTTTGGGTGCGGAGAGACGCACTAGGTCTTGAATGTTTAGAGGCAGATTGACTTCGACCCCGGCTTGGGGGAAGTCTTGCGGGCGGGAAAATGCGATCGCATCTTCCAGGTTGAACGTGTACAGGCTCCACCACACGCGTCGGCGGACTTCCTGGTAGAAAGGGTTGCTCTCCGGCGTCGGGAACTCCTTGTACAGCCCGATCCCGATCGCGGTCCGATTCGCCAGCCCCAGGTAGTTGTAACTGGCGTTGAGCTTGTTTCGCATGCGCAAGTATCGGGACATCAGGGTCAGGGCCTGAACCAGGGTCTTGTTGCCCGTCTCCATCACGTCGCTGGAGAAGCGTGCCTTGGCCGCCTCGAAGAATCCCCGATCGGTGGTGTCATCCGTCGGGGAGGAGACTGCAAAGGCTCCCAGCGCAGCCACCGCATAGAGGAGCATCTCCCACAACGGCCGTGACGGTCGCGGGTACAAGTCCATCAACTGGGCGCGGAATGCAGTCTCGTGTAGGAACGGGTGCAACGGGTGACAATGAACAAAGTATGCATCCACATATTGGCCGATCGACGATAAAGGCAAAGGCACGGAAGGCTCCGATATAGTCTGTGGAGAGCATGCTATGGTCATTGGCGGGTAAGCTTCATCTTGGTGACCGGTCGTGCGCAGGAAAGCTCTAGTGGAGGCGATGCCTTCAAATTGCCATTAGCAACGTAACCAGCGCAATTGGGATGGCGGAGCAGACCAAAATAACCGCCACCGGAAAGCTTGACGGGTGCCTCGGAGGCGTCTTGCAGAGTGCTATCCCGCTCATCCCATTCAAAACTGGCGACTGGAGGTGCAACTTCGGGGGGCAGGAGGAGACAGCGCTCTGTCTGCCGCGTCTTGAGTAAAGATGAGCCCGGATCGACTGCAGCGCTGGTGTCGGGTGGCTGTGAACCGAGGTCATCATTGTCGGGACTCAGGCGCGCAGGCAATTGATCTTCCCGTCGGGTGTCTCGCAAGAGAGTCCGCGCATGGTTGAGCTCGTTCTCCAGCTGCGTCAAATATCTTCGGGTCAAAGGGGTTCTGTTGGGCCTTTGATAGTCGCATAGGCTGCGAGAGCGCTCACACGTCGAGCACACGGGCTTGGCACGGTCACACTAGCTGCGTCAGTACGAATCGACCTATGAAGCGCCTGGTTGCGTCGGACCTTCAATTTTCGCCGCCTACACTCTTGACAGGCTCGTCTGGGAGTCTGCGATGTCATTCTCACACTGTCGATGGGTAAAGTGGGGTTGGTTATGGCTACAGAGGAGCAGGGAGACGAGGGGAAAAGAGATTTCCGATCCGCTCGGACAACTCGGACTTTTCTTTCCGCCTTCCCGCCTCGGCTTCGGCATTCGCCATCCGTCGCCCCAGAGTATACGATTTCTACGTAGTCCTTGGTAAAACCACATCATTATTTGTCAGAAAATCAAGAAGTCAACTATTTGTACGCAATGCACTCCATCTCGACCAGCGCTCCCAGGGGCAATTCCTTCACCGCCACGCAAGTTCTCGCCTGGAACATGCCATGTCAGTCAGCCCTAGTCCTCAATGTCCCAACTGTGTCGGGGACCTACCGGCATGGGTACAGAGAAGTGTCGTGCATAAACACGATTCATCGCAGCAAAGTCATCCATGGTGGTGATGAAAACGGTCATCTTGAGAATGTTCTGCAGCCCGGATTCGGCTGCCTGGAGGACCAGATCCAGATTGCGCAGTAATTGCTCCTGGGAGGTCAAGTCAATCAATCAGTCTCAAGATGGTGTGAAACCACCTACTGTCTGTTCTTCCACTCCACCGGTCACCAGAGTGTTGGACTTTGCATCCAGTCCGATCATGCCGGAGCAGTAGACTGTGTCTTTGTGGACGATCGCCTGCGAGAAGATCGGGAACGGTGCGGGGGCTTGGTCGGTGAAAATGGGGGTTTTTGCTGCCATCGTGACTCAGAATTCAGATAAGTCGAAGAAAGGGTATAAAGATGAAGATTGAAGTGGGCAGAGCAAGCCTTCAACCGAATACTGTGGCAGAATCCATGTCCTTTCACATCATATATACACGCATACTGAGTAGATAGAAGTGGGGCTCGGCGAGCCGTCTCCGAGCGGAAAGCAACGGGAGTCAAAAAGGCTCGGCCACAAAACCCCGAGCCCGCCAATCTTAAATCGATCTTCCTCTCAACCTCCGCACCATTTCCAACCACACCTAAGCTCCTATCATCCTCAACAGAATACACACTCAACCCAAGATGTCTCTCCCATACGCCCTGGTCGACGTTTTCACCACCACCCGGTTCCAAGGCAACCCGCTCGCCATCGTGCGAGTGCCCGCCCAGCAACGCGACACCCTGACGCAAGAGACCAAGCAAAAGATCGCCACCGAGTTCAACCTCTCCGAGACCGTCTTCCTGCACGAATCCGCCTCCCCCACCGACCTGCACATCGACATCTTCACCCCCAAATGCGAGATCCCCTTCGCGGGCCACCCGACCATCGGCACCGCATGCCACGTGCTCGAGCAACAGGCGTCCGCCACGGGCACCCGCAGCCTCCAGACCCTGATCACGAAAGCGGGGCCCATCCCCATCACCACCGCCGATGACCTGGTGGGCGCCTCCATCCCATTCGCCTACCACCAACACCAAAAACCCGTGCAATCCGCCCCTGTCATCTCCATCGTCAACGGGCTGTCGTTTGCGCTCCAGCAGCTCCCCGATCTGGCCTCCCTGGCCGCGGTGACGGAGGCGCTGCTGCCGGACTGTTTCGCCACCGCGCATCTGGACGCAGGGTGGGACTCCGGCCCCACGGGAAGCAAGTACTATGTCGATCTGGGCCGGGATGAGACCGGGTGTCGCACGCTGCGCACGCGCATGTTCATCGGCTGGGAGGACCCAGGCACGGGCAGTGCCTCCAGCGCGCTGGGGGCGTACCTTGCGTTGCAGGAGCCGATCGAGGATGGCGCGGGGCCGTTTGACTACCATATCACTCAGGGGGTGGAGATGGGCCGCCGGAATGATATCTATGTGACTGTGGAGCGGGATGCGGGTGGAGGGAAGATCGCGAAGATTTTGCTTCGCGGGACGGCGGTGCTGGTGGGCGAGGGGCGGATTATGTTATAATTGCTGAGAGCATGGTTCTTAAAGTGTGGGATGTAGTGTGAAATACAGAGGTGGTTCTTCATTGTACTCCAGTCGACTGAATATGCGACCAGTCCTGTTCGCGGCACGAGGGATACATACCCGATTTCTTGTAGGTTGAGAGTACTATTATCGGTGACAATATCTGGTAGGATTTGTCCGTATTCCTATCCATACCGTTGTCGCTCATGGATTTCTTGGTGAATGCTAGAAATATATAGATCGTACAAGGAGAGGGAAAAAGGAAAGGAAAGAAAAGGGGGAAAAAAAAAGAAAGAAAAAGAAAAACACAGAAGGGAGTCGCTGGAGGTTACTTACCCAAGTACCAATCTTTTGGTATGTGGCTTGAACACGGTCAGTGTGATGTCCGTTTGAATTTTTATCTAGTACACCGACAGCATTATCACTAATTCTAGAATTATACACTAATCAATCAACGATAAATGACTTAAGTACTACCTACATATGTTTCATTAGAGATCAATATGATCGTAATTGCACGTTGTTAGATACGACGGGCTTTCTATCTACATTCGTAGACTGGTAGAACACAGCAGTATTGGGTACCAGCCGCTTTGCAGATCTCTTACTTGGCTATTCTAAGTAGCGAAGTTACCTGGGTGACTTCTCAACCCGGACTAACGCGTACATATCCTGGCCCTATTGTCAATTATTACCAATACCTGACGCGGTGCAGGGGAGTCCTGGGCTGAGGACTATACACGTCACACGAATGACATACCTGGAGATGAGTTTGCCCCCTCCCCTCCCCGCTAACACCAGCATATCTGTATTTCATAATCCCACTACATTGAAATCACCATTACAAGACAAGCACAATTCGGACATCGACCCGAACCGAAAACTATGGGGCCCGTTGCCCAGCTCCAAACCATCAACCTCCAGGCGCTGAAACGCGGCTGCGCGGACGAAGTCTCCAAGCTCCTGGGGGCGGCAGAACAGAACGGCATCTTCTACCTTGATCTCACCGACGAAGTCCCACTTGATGGGGTGCCTGACGAAATCGATCGGCTGAGCCGCAGCCTGTTCGGCTTGAGTGCGGAAGAGAAAATGAGATTCGACGTGGACAAGCTGGACCCGTATAAGCTCAATGGGTGATTAATTTCTCTATTGTAATGCTTTCTCCTGGGCAGTGACGCTGACCAACTACAGATACAAGCCCGTCGGCCGCAACGCCGGAGGCATCCCAGGCCAGCGGGACGGTTTCGAGAGCTACGCGGTAAGTGCACACCCCAAACAGCATCGCCCCAATGAACTAAAGACAGAACTGGGTAGATCTCTTCCAATCCCGATTCTCCAGCTCCTCCAGTCGTAGCCCAATTCCGGCCCGAACTAGCCGAATTCCAATCCATCTGCCTAGACCTCGCCCAGGTCCTCTTCGAATCGCTCTCCGTCGCCTGCGGCTTGCCCAAGGAGAGCTCCTTCCAGGCGTGCCACTCGAACCCAGCCCTAAATCTGGTCCGCCTGCTGCGGTACCCGGGGGCCTTGGCCCCAGACAACCCGCACTTCAGCATCCCCCAGCCAGCGCACACCGACATGGGATCGCTGACCTTCCTGTGCACGGATGCGCCGGGCCTTCAGATCCAGCCGGTCGGCTCGTCGGATTGGCTGCATGTGCTGCCCAAGAGGGGCCACCCCGTCGTAAATCTGGGAGACGCGATGAAGACGCTCAGCAACGGCCGGTTTCAGAGCGTGCTGCACCGCGTGATCTCGGTGCCTGGGGGTGGGATTTTGGGGGCAGAGGACCGCTATAGCTTTGCATATCTGCTGCGGCCGGAGCCATCGACGCCCATGGCGCCGCTTCCTGGCTTGGGGTCTGTGGGTAGTGAGGGGGAGCCGGTGCGGACATGCGAGGAATGGGTTTCCATGAAGTTTCGGGCGCTACGAGCTTGATTTCTTGCCCTGTGGCTCCATGCAGCTACTAAGCTGAGCTTGATATAGCGCTACATTCACTAACAACCATTTCTTCCATGAGCTTCCCCCCTTCATTTCACAACCAAAATCGACCGAATAGTCCTACAAGACGACCCTCCGGCCCCAGAGATACCCATAATCCGGCATAGCCTCCTGCACCCAGTGCAGCAATGTCGTCGCAACGAGATCCCCAAAGTCTGCCCGCCATTTGACAACCTCACCGTCCACCGAAAGCCCCGGAAAGTCTGACCCTGCGTGATGATGCTCGACGAGGCCATCAGCGTCGCGCGGGTATGTCTTCGGATAGGATGCTCGGCCAACTCCTCTGGGTCCACAACAGCCTCCCACTAGAACCGCACCCTGGTAGAATCCAACCCCACGAGGTCGCAGAAGTGGCGCGCCAGCTCAGGCCGCTCGATCAGGTCATCCGCCTCAAGCAGAATGGGCGGCGATCGCTGCTGCCGCTGCCCCTGCCCCTCCCACGCAGCGATATACCAATCATACAGCGAGCGCGTCCACCGCAGGGTACAGATCGCCGCCAGATCGCTCATCATGCTCTCCAGCTTCTGACAGTCCCCGTCCGCAAAGGACCGCCTCAATCGGTAGTAGGAGGGAAAGCCAGGGCCGGATGCCGGATCAGGAATGCAGGCACGCATTGCAGCAGCACCTCGTCGGGGAGGACGGTCTCGTTGCCGTTGCCCGGGGCGCTGCTGTGGGAGTACGCGCCGATCTCGATATTCATCTTTGACGGAGTTGCAATAAGCTGCGGCCGCGGCTGCGGCTGCTGCTGCTGCTGCTGCCGCCGCCGCCGCCCCCGCCCATGCACAAACTCCGCCCGCACCTCCGGACGGATCAGGAAGGGCGCATGCTCCTTGATCACGGCCCGCTTGCCCGCGGCTTGCGCTGCGCCGATGAGATGCCGGAAGTTGTCGGAGCACGATTGGAAGACCTGCTGCATGGCTGAGGTCTCCTGGTCGGTCCAGTGCTCGGGGGTCCGGTCGAGCAGCCGCGCGGCGCGGAGGTGGCTCAGGGCCGGGTAGAAGAAGTAGCCGCCGCTTTCTGCGGCGAGGACGTTCGGGTGGTCGGCTAGTGAGAGGATGCGCATGAAGAGGTTTGACGCTGAGCGCGGGTGCGTGATGATTCACAGGGGTGGGTTGTTTGCTGTGCTCATGGTGGAGGGTATCTTGGGAGGGCCGAGAGATATAATAGTGGATGCTTGGGAATGAAACTTGAGCAGCAGGAGGCTTGCCAATGGATTCTCTTGGGCGGCGGGATTACTTATCCATGGATAACCCTGTATGCTGATGGACCTATCCAAGTCTGACAGGGGCTTTGCCTGCATCCACGTCATTCTTCAGGTTAGACAGCAGACAGACAGAACGATCTATTGCGGTAGTAGGGAATGAGACAGTGGCACTGTTGTTATATTCCTAATGATGTAGCCAATCTAGCCAGATCACATCGAGCGACGACCTTGCGCAACCGCTTGGATATATACACTTATTATATTTGAAGGTAGAGCTGCAGTTGTCCTTTTGATGAAGCCAGATCAGTAGCTAGCCAATTCTCTCTATAATGAGAACCTTGTCTCGATTCTATGTGCTTAAGCTAGATTTCTGGGCGAGTACAACTTCAACATGCTAAATTCATGAGTATCAGCCTACCGTCAACTACTGTGGAGTTACTATTTTGAACCTGATTCGGAATTTATCTTTGTGATCCCTTGTTCTATTCAGCAATAGAGTCAGGACGCTATGTCCTAAGATGTCCCTTTTCCAAGAAATATAAAGCTTCCAAGCAAAGAATTATGATATCTCATTGAGATTATAGAACTTCCGATCCTGTTTAGCAAGTATCTGTTCTCGGATGTATTCTATGGGCTATGTAGTGGAGAGTTCTTGCTCTCTTGTAAACACCATAGGGGGGGTATAGCTTGGTGGCTTGAGGTTCAAGCCGGCATGGATAAGTGGGAGTTGGTGATAGCCAAGCAGTACAAAAGCCCTAAAATATTCGTGTTTAAAAGTTCCGTCACCTGATCGCATCCCGGACGAGCTCTACTGCCAAGGCTGAACTCAGTACAACTTTGCCCATGCTTAAAAATACGAATCAGAAAGAAAGAACGTATACCTGAAGATAATCGCTGATAGTTATCTATCTGGATACTAACCTTCCAGCATATAGCTTGAAATCAGAGATAAGATCGCGCTGTGAGCGAGCATTCACAGAGAAAGTACTGTGCTGTGTGGTCTAGTCTTATCCGTCGGTTACAAGCTATCTTCCAATGTAGTATGCCTTCTACTCTGGGCTTTAATTTCGATCACTAGGAATCCGGATTTGAAGAGTATCACTACAGGATCTCAATTACCAATCAGACGCACATTTCTCCTTGGACGCCAGATAGCCCCATATAGCCCAAATGATATGAGTATGACACGTGGAGCCGCAGCCAGAGTAACGGAGCAGCATACTCTATGTACGCAAGGAACCTACAGTTGCTTTTTTGCCTTTAGCTGTAGGACGGATATTAGTAAGGATCACATGTAAAGTAACTAATTATCTTTGCGAATTGAACATTGCCAGAACATTGACTGAATATCAACAAAGCTTCCAAAGTGACCTAGACTTGCAGGAAACGAGAAGCTATCATACCAGAGAAGACATTCGTAGGGTCCATCTACTTTGCAAGGAAAGGAAGTCACATGTGCCGCGGGTGTTTAAGCCTCAATGCAAAGTACACAAAATCGTTCCGGAAAGGGATGAGCATTCTTCATTAACTACCTGAATACAAAGCCAGCACACACAACTTACGTTTAATCCTCGTCTCTTCCTTATTTACAAACCACACATAGTCCTTATGTCTAACAAGATTTGGATAAAACTATCTGATGTGGAATTTTTCGAAAAGCTAAGAAAGAGTAAGTACTCGGTGGTTTTTAAAGTCCGTTCTTAGCAAAGGATGTATGTCATAAAGGTAGTAAGCATGGATACTTTCATTTCTTACTAGCTTCTTGCTTATTGGAATCAAAGTATTATGGTAAAGACCCGTCTGAGTTCGATCCCTCTAACCGTAAGATCAATCTCTCTATTTCCAAGTCCACTGTATACCGTGGAATGAACTCCAAAGGCTCGTGGAAGAGGAGGGTGAGCCCGAATCTCTCTAGAATAATTACCAAATATCCAGCCCGCTGCTTGGCCAGATCTTCACCTGTTTGATGAAGACAGCCGCCCGCCCAATGCCATTTTTATCGAATATGTCCCAAACCTGCAGCCAATAGACCTGTCTGACTTCTCAGAAAGACGCCTGGCTAAAGTCCGCAAGATTCTCGAAGATATCCACCCGGCAAACGTTTCTCCATGGCGATTCGAAGTCCCGCAATATGACGGCTTCGTTGGAGGACTACGAAAGGATACTCTGGATCGATTTTAATCCTGCGCTAATAGTTTCAGAGCATGATCTTTCATCCCGGCAAGAGAGATGGATTGCAGATGAGGTGGAGATGATAGACTATTGATTGATGCCTTGGTGAGTTCCAGTGTTCTAGCTACTGCTTGTCCTGACTGTCAAACCGCGGCTCTGGATTTCAGAAAAGGCCGACTGAATCGCACAGTTTCATACTATTATCACTGGTTCAAGTAGGCCAAAAAAGGCCGGGCGGTTTTAAAGTAATTTTGCACACTATGTCACAACTGGTTCCTTGGATGGAATATTCGCTCCGCGCTATGCATATATAGTGTCACGGGTACAGTACCTCAGGCACCAGTTGGCGGATGTCTGACAGGCTGTCAAGGCGCCTGTCACTTACTGAGTGCCAGGTGTATCCCTCTTAGTTCTCTGTATGGTGTAGGTTGGCCTCGATAAAATCTTGAAATAACGAAAGAGCACAGCTAGATTCGATAAATAGGATCTTTATATTTCGATGGTGCTGTATCGAATATTATATATGCTACGGAAGTTCGACATGCTCTCGCCACCATCCACTGTATGTCCGTTTAGCCGTTGAAACTAACAAACGAAAAAAAAAGATCGACTGGTTGGGAGAAACCAGTTACACTGGCTTCATCCAGGGAACCCTCTAAAGCATAGTACCTCGCGCATGCATAACGAAGAGTGCTTGCGCAAGAGGGATGGGAACCTTCCTGCCTACAGCGATCTACTGGGAACAGACTAGAGCCGTCTGGAGGACTCACAATGCTGGAGGACTGGGACGCGGTATCTGTACAAGAAAGGTACCTTTGCTTTCTAGTGCTTCAAGAGGGTTAATGGGAACTGCGAGCATATTTACCGGCACTAAAGAGCGGTCGGTGAATTCCATTCCAGAAAGACGGAGAAGCAGGAGAGTGGTGCTGGGGCGGACAGTAGGTTCGGATTGCAGTGCCCCCGGATTTCGCTGGTGGTCATCCACCCATGTATAAGTATCTTTCGGCACTACTTCATATAGAATGTTTCAATGTATAAGAACCGTCTTCGAATCTATTAAAGTAGATTTTACATATTAAACATCAGGTTGTTGAAGAAATATTAGAGCATAGTTCACGTCATCTGGAAGACTATAGTATGTCAGAAGAAATCAAAGGACAAGATTTGCTTCTTAACTAATAACTGGATTTCTTGAATGTTGTAGAAGAAAATGAAAAACTCTGACTTCGTTGCCAAGGGTCATGTAGACCCGGGCAGGGACGTATGGTCTCGAACAATTGCCGTGACCATCTCACCAACAAGTGTTCCCTCCTTCTCCCTTGGTAGACAGGCAATACCGCCTTTCTCCAAGGGGTTTCAACCTCTCTTACCTATACGTATCCTCACAGACCTCGCCACTGAGAACAGTACAGAAGAGCATCTAACTCTCCAACTGGAGCTCACCCCCAGTCAGATCTTCCCCAAAAGACAAAAGACTCTCCAGCATCAGAGGGAGGTGTTCGTCCAGAAACAGCCGGTGCAGCCTCTTCGTCCCCGTCGCGCAGGTTACCAGACATTTGACCACGGCGGCAACGGCAGGGTCCCACCTCAGACCCAGCAGGCAGCTCAGGATGGCCTCCATCTCCCTCTCGTACTGCTCTGTCTCGTAGCAGCTGACCCCGTCAATCACAAATATCACCGTCCGGTCCGGCGGGAGCTGCTGCATCAAGCTCCGGAAGACGGCGCAGAGGGCGGCTACATCCCCGTGCTCCACAGCCTCCTGTGTTCTTGGATCCCAGGAGACGTGGGGTGCAAAGGTCTGCTGCTGCTGCTGCTGTTGTTGTTGTTGTTGTTGTTGTTGTTGTTGTTGTTCAAGCAGCTGACAGATCAGACTCTGCATGAGGGCGCGGGGGGCCGCGTGCTCGTCGGCGACGTCCACATGCTGCGCGCAGAAGAAGACCAGGGCGAGGTACCGATGGCTCTCCCGCTGGTGCACGCTTCGGGTGAGATGGGCGCACACCAGGGATAAGGCCAAGGCGGCCTCGTGGGATTCCATCTCCGGGCCGCCGAGGACCAGCAGCTCGGTCGACGTGAGCGAGGCGATCCAGCGCCGGAATTCCGTGGCGTGGAGGATGTCACTTGCGCTGCTGCGGTGGCGGAGCGGGATCGACTCGCCGTTATCAATGACGGATTCGACATCGCGCTTGTCGAGGCCGACGATCCAGGGGCGTCCGATCCAAGACCCTGCGGCTATGGTGCCCTGAAGCGGTGGGAAAGACATATGATAGGGGGGTAAGGGAAGGGAGGATATTGCCACGGCGCCAGGGAAGGGTACGGCCATTGTTGGTGATTCGGCGGGGCGAGATATGTGCCTGGGACAGCCAGGCTCGGGGAACAATATGAGATTGGATGATGGTAGTAAAAGATTCTGCGACATGGTAGATGCACTTCGGGATGGGGTTGCGGAATGGCTGCTTTCCTCGTCAGAATGTCTGGACGGCAATGTCGATTGTGTCCCTTCCCCGAGCCATTCCTCTGTAGTTCCAACAGTTAGTGCAATTGATGGAAGTAGTTAAGACAAGAATTGGTGGTGATTTTTTTTTCATGGGCGTTGAGTAATTTCAGTAACACATTCGCCAAATCAGCATTCCTCTGCCACAGTTGGTCGACTCGATCGCTTAAAAGATCAATCTTCTGGACGACTTGACGATTCTGCTCGACCATTTAATTTTACCCTGGCGAATCGGTGGGGGTGCGTTCTACTGCTGGATGAAGCAGATGTGTTCTTGACAGCGCGGAGCAAGACCGACTTTATCCAAAACGGGCTGGTATCTGGTATAGTTCCGCCTGACCCAACAAGCCGCAAAGAGAGCCCCGAAATGCTAACTTACAGCAACAGTCTTCCTTCGTGTGAGGGAGTACTACGCAGGTGTTTTGTTCCTAACCACCAACCGCGTTGGCGACTTTGACGAGGCATTTGCGTCCCGAATCCACATCAGCTTATACTATCCCTAGCTCAATGAGCAATCAACAGTAGCGATCTTTCGGCTGAACCTAAAGCTGATTAAACAACGATTCGACTCTCGGGGCCGAAAGATCGATATTGATGAACCAGAGATCGTGGACTACGCGAGGTGGTTTTTCAACAACCACAAAGAAAAGTGGAACGGCCGTCAGATCCGCAACGCTTGCCAAACAGCTCTGGCCTTGGCCGAATACCGCGCGCGCAAGAAAACTATATACTTCTTGCGGCGCAGCCAGTCCATACCGATACACGCCCACAAAGCGCTGCTCGGACGAAAGCCGCACCAGCAGCCACCACCTAAATACTACTATTATTAACAGTAGAAAAGGCTCTATACAGACCCCCTTGGCCTGCTATGTACATATATTTGTACTCCAAATATGTACATTCGCTGGAATTATTCCCCGTTACAACGAACATGCTAGGCGTGACGGACTGATTCGTTATAGTGGGGAACTGCAGTACCTGTTTCAGGCGCAGACTACCTAGTTGGCAGTCGGCCCACCCTGAGTTATAAAGAGTGATTATTGGTTATTATACAGTTGTAATATAATTACAATACAGTTATAGTACAGTTAGAATACAGTTGTAGTAGTAAAAAATAGTCTTAAAATAATAAATACTGTTATATAATAGAAAGAGTATATTACAGAACTGTATATAACTAGTATTAAAAGTAGATTACTTAATAATTAATTTTAATACTAATAGTTATCTTAAATATTATAGAAGTTTTTTGTAGTTTATTTTTATATTAGATTAGTTATCTCTCTATTCTTTAACTATAGGCTAAGAAATAATAACAGTACTATTAAGATTTTTAAATATATAAAATAGTATTTTAAAATATAAAAATAATAGAAACCTTTATAATACTTTATATAAAGTTAATATTTTATGTATACTATATTAAAATTATTAAGGTTAGAAAAGTATAAGCAGACTTCTATAAAAAATCTAATATAAATATTTTTTTAATATTAGGATTAAGGCTTATTAGAGCCTATTTACTTAAATATTTAAAATAAAAAAGTACTAATAAAGGATTTTTTCGAATTACTTTTAAAGATTTTATAAAAAGAAATATAATATATTAATAATCAAGATAGTATATAACCCCACAAGAAAGATAGAATAGAGTAGAATAATATTAAATAAATAATCAACTATAAAGTAGATAAGAACTAATAAATATTAGTAAATATAATATAAAAAATATAAAAAACTATAAACTAACTATTTAGAAATTCTAATATAACTCTAAAAAGATAGTATTATACTATTATATTAGATTAGAATACTCTGAGAGTACTCTGTTAAGTATACTAGTAAAAATATTTTAAGAATTTGGTTTATTAAATAAACTTTTAGTTTTTTAAAATTAAGTTATTTAGACAGAATATATTTCTTAATTATAGAATTATATTTATTTAGTAGAATATAGTAATTTAAAAACTATAGATATAGCTGGCAGAGCTTCGAGATTAATTAAATTTAGATAAAAAAGCTATAGTTCTAAATACTATTAAATCTAAGTTATAGAAACTGTTAAATCCGATCTATTTAAAAAAAATAGATTATAAGATTATATAGTAAGGCCCGATCTGTTTAAATCTTATAAATTCTAAAAATAAAAATAGAAGTAATTAGAGTTAAGATTCTAGATAGTAAAAAATTATTTTATATTTATTTATATTTCTATTCTCTGTTTAGTATATTATAATTTATTAATAACCTATACTCTGTAGTAAATAATAGAAAGTATATTTTAATATAAATATTTAAAACAGCAAGATTTTGGAGCTATTTATCTTTTAAAACTAGTAATTTATTTATAAAAAGTTAACTACTTATCTATATTATAGAAAATAAAATATATTACTATTAAATATAAATTTTTTCAGATCTTAAGATTTAAATAATAAAATAACTATAATAAAATATTAAAAAGCTTTTCGACTATATATAATAAGTCGGAATATTATTAGAATTAGAATAGTATAGTATGTCGAAGTTGCTGAAATTTTTTGAATAATAATAGTATAGATTTAGATAATATATTCTAGTAATAAATTTAGTTTAATTTATAGATAAAATATTAGAAGTAAAACTAAAATATATTTAAAATATTTTTAATAAAACCAAGTTTTATTAGTCTTATATTATAAGACTAGCAAAAGTAGAATAAATACTTATTTAAATTCAGATAATATCTATATTTAAAAATATTTAAGTACTAGCAGACGAGGCTAATAAATAGATTTAATAATTTTTTAAAATACTATAAAATATTTTTTTGTATTTTTTAAATTTAAAATCTAAAGTATAAAACTCTGAAAACAAAGACTAAAATTCTTTTAATTTAAATAAAAAATATTATACAGTCGACTAAAAACAAGATCTAATAATAGTATAAGTAATTCGAATAATAATAGATAAAATAATAAATTTTTTAAATTAAAAAATTAAATCTATTTAGTAAATAAGAAAAGACTCTTTATATATTTTTAGAATAACTTAATCTTAAAATAATACCAACCGTATAAAAGAGAGTTAAACTTTAAGTTATATTTATTATTTTTTAAATAATAATAAATATAATATCTAAACTTAGTACTATAGCTTTGAGTACCAGAATTTTTTACTTATTAGAATATATTACTAATAAATATAATAATAAATATAGTAATAACTATATATATTTTATAAAAATATATATAGAATTTTTAAGAAAGAGTCTAGATTTTTTTTAAAATATCTAAATATTATCTTTTATTTTTATACTATAAGAATCTAGTATCAGAATAAAAAAGTTATCTAGATAATATTATTTCCGGTAAGTTAATTCTGTTAGAATAAGATAAAAAGTTTTTAAAACTTTATATATATTTTAATATACTCCAAAGTTATTAATAAATAGTAGAAATAAGATTAACCGGATATTAGACTGTTTAGATAACTATTAAAAATAGCTGTATTTATAATATTTAATCTCTAATTCTACTTAAAAAAAATATATCTTAATATATTATTAAAACTTGCAAGTAGATAGATAAAGTATATAAAAAATAATAATTAAATTATTATTTAGAATAGTCTAATAAGAGAGTATAAAGTTAACTTATTCTAAAACTAATAATATTAAGATCTTTAGATACTCTTAATATTCGACTAAAAAATAAGAGTAGTTATAATCTGGTTTAGAAAAACTAGAATAGTTTTTATAAAGTCTAGATAATTAGTATTATTCTAATACCAATTATATAGTTAGAATAATCTGATTACCGGTAGAAAAGAATATTTGTTTATTAAATTCTATAAAAATAATCCGATTGTATTAAACAGAAATTTTATAATCCCAGAATATCTTATAATTTATCTAAATAAAATCATCTAATAGTAATAGATTTTTATTAGAAAGAGATATATACTTGCCAGATATAATTATTAAAAAGAACTTTTATGCACAAGAGTACCAGAGCTTAACTAGATTATTAGAATATTTAGCTATTTTAAAATATAGCTTTTTCTGGCCAAGCTGAGATAATAAAATATAGTAGAATAGCTTTAAAAGATTATATATAATCTAGAATTTTTTTAGAATTTTCTTAGTAAGATCTTTTTTAGATAATAACCAAGAAGAAGACTATATTATTAGATTAATATTAATTTTATATTCTTTAGTTAAAAAAAAAGATAAGAATTTTTTAACAGTTTGTTTAAAAATATTCAGCTTTTTTAAAAAAGTTTAAACTAAAAGATTATTAAATAACTAGAATATTTTTACTAAGTTAGTATAGTTCTCTCGAGAAATCTCTATATTAAAAGCCTAGATTCTAAAAATAAAAAAAAAGTCAGATAAAGAATTTATAGATAGAATTAGAAGCTATTTATAAAAAGCTAATCTAATAGACTTTTATTTATTACAGATTTAAAATAAAAAGAATATTTTAGAAAAGAATATAATCTATCTTAAGATATATATATTTCTGTTAAATAAATATTATCGGTATTATTAAAAAAGATATTATTAAAGAAGATATTATTAAGGAAGATATTATTAAGAAAGATATTATTAAAAGAGATATTATTAAGAGAGATATTATTAAAAAAGATATTATTAAAAAAGGTATTATTAAGAGAGATATTATCAAGAAAGATATTATTAAAAAAGATATTATTAAAAGAGATATTATCGAGAAAGATATCATTAAAAGATATATTATTAAGAAATATATTATTAAGAAAGATATTATTAAGAAAAATATTTAAGTTTATTATATATTAAATTATTAGCAATATATAGAATATTAATA